TTTCAAATCAGACTAATATGAGAATAACAATAATTAATACATTGTATAATTTTATCTACTTAGTAATTACTCAGAGTACAAGATATAGGCATGAAATATTGTCCAACAATGTTAGTACAAAGCTTTCTTTTCAATGCACTAAGAGAAACTAGCTGTATAACTATCTTAACTCTATCTTCCCTTTTTTCTTCCTTCCTTTCCCCTTTCCCTTATCAGTTTCTCTTTACTTTTGGACAGTTTCTTCCAAATTCTCAATAATTATTGTACATTTTGTTTTATTTATTTTGCGGAACCGGGGATTGAACTCAGGCCCTTGTGCTTGCCAGGGAAGGGCTTATTCCACTGAGCCATCTCCCTGGCCCCAATTATTGTACATTTTGGATGATATTTAATCATTCAGCTTCTTACACTAGTAAGACAATATGATTTTTACACAGGTGGATCTGATTTACTTCACTTAAGTGTATGTTCTTGAGTTGCATCCATTTATCTATAAAAGTCTCAGGTTTATCTCTTTTAATGGTTAGCGGTATTTCATTGTATAAAAATACTACATCTTTTTTTATCCATTCCTCAGTTGATTGGCATTTGGGTTGGTTCTAAGACTTAGCTATTAGAAATTTCGCTGCTATAAACATGAATAAATATATATCATTGTGGCATGAAGTTTTTAATTTTTCTGGGAAATTAACCAGAAAGGAAATAGCTGGGTTAAATGAGACCTCTAATCTTAATTGATAAGGAATCTGATTTACACAATGGTTGAACCAATCTACCCTGCCACCAACAGTGGAGAAGGGCTCCTTTTTCCCCACAGTGCCAACAGCATTTGCTATTGGTGGATTTCCTGATAACAGCCATTCTTTCTGGAGTAAGATGGAATCTCAAAATTGTATGTCAATTTTTTATCTCTACCACTGTGCACTGAACTAAAGTCAAAATGAATCAAAGGTCTAAATATTAAAAGAGAAACACTAAATCTACTGGAAGAGAAAATAGGTAGAAATCTTGAAGATGCAGGTATAGGCAGGCTTCGCATACAAAACCCAAACTGCACAGGAAATACCACAAAGAATCAACAAATGAGATCACATCTTACAAAGCTTTTGTGCAGCAAAAGAAATCAACAACAGAGTGAACAGACAATTCACAGAGTGGAAATAATTATAGCCAGTTGTCTCTCAGAGAAAGAACTTCTATCTAGAATATATAAAGAATTGGAAAAAATCAGGCTCTCCAAATTCAAAAACCCAATCCAAAAATGTTCATTTCAGATGAATACACACTTGTCAGATGTAGAAATACAAACAGCAAATAAATGTGTGAAAAAAGTTCTCATTTATTTTCTCCCCTTAATAATTAAAAGACAAGTTGAATCATGTTACAGCTACTGATTTTCTGCTGTCCTTGGCTAAAGGCATGTAAAAATAAATGAAAGTAATGTTATGTCTGTGTCTCTAGATCCATTCCTCCACTTCCTCACCACTATCTGCCCACAGTCTCTCAATGGATAAATCCTCATGAGATTAATGGAACATGATTAGCAATATCAACAAGAATAGACATTCTGCAAGGTAAGTAAATCAGGGATGAAAAGTATCCTCGGATGTTTCAGGGAGGGGCTTCCACATCACCTTCTACTACTTTGGCTGGGCCTTTTATGGTACACTATGGAGATAACTGCAGACAGAGCCTCAAATTCTAAGGAAGGATAAAAGTCTCTCTCTCTCTCTCTCTCTCTCTCTCTCTCTCTCTCTCTCTCTCTCCTCTCAGCCTGTTTATGTAAGGTTTATTGTCTGCTT